AAATTGGAGAGAGATAAAAGCCCTTTAGATAGAACTTGATATAATTCAAACATTTTCATAAAAATGAATTCTATTTAATTTTCAAAATGTTTATAGGCATAGCCACTTAAGGATGTGATATACAATCCAAGAACAGAAGTAGCAGTAGATTACTATCATTTATATTTTTAATCAATTCATATTATCAAATAATTGATTATTGTTTCTTATGTTCAACTCTCAGATTTTATGACAAAATAAAAGGTAAATGGTTAAAAACATTATTTAAGGTTCAGTTTAAAATCAGAAGAAAAATGCATGGTTGTTAGCAAAATGAATAGCCCAACAAACAAATTACAAATTGGAGATACCAAAATCAAATCAGTATTTTAAGAAGATGGAAAGTACGACACAGAAATTTGAAGACACATTGGGATGGCAAAATATGCCTTTCCAAAGCTAAGCAAAGTATTAAAAAACAGAAATTTCATTAGAAAAAAGAAAAGTGTATTGAACTGATACGTAATATCAGCCCTCCTATATGGCAATGAATGCTGGATAAAAAAGATACTTGAAGCAACAGAAAGTATGCTGAAAATACCATGGACCACACATGTGAGTAACGATGAAGTTTTAGGGAAAATGGAAATAAAAAGGATGCATACTTAATATCAGAAAGAGAGTTGAAATTTCTAGGGTACATAATGAGGAAAGAAGGCTTGGAAAATTTGATATTCACAGGACAGATTAAAGGCAAGAAGAACAGATAAAAACAATGCAAAACTTACCTAGTGAGTTTGAGTAAATGGATAGTAGAACAAGGTTTAGGAGAGAAAAAAAAATTATTAAGAGCTACAAATGAAAGGAAATTGTGGAGAGCCTTGATTGCCAACATCCTGAAGGGACATGGCACATAGAAGAATGAAGTCCTTTTCATTTTACATCTATTTTATCTAGAGGCTTATGGCCATATCATGTTGTAACATGGGTTCTGGTACAACCACTGAAGTTAAGCAATGTTGAGTGGTCAGTACTTAGATGGGTAACCATTTGGGACTACCAGGTCTTGTAATCTTGGATGTATGACTGGTATTATGTTTAATGTCTTGGTATTGTTGCCAAGTTACAATTCTAGTCAGGTTTTTTTACATTCACTTACACTCAAATACCCTTGGGAAAGATATGAATGCACTTCTTCTCCCTCCAGTTGGATGAAGGTGGTAAATTCATACCTTTCCCAAGTGAATGGGTTAATTAAGTAGGACTTGTATCAGCAAATCATTATTATCTCCAAAAATTCTTACAATGTAAAAATATTTTTTTGCTTTAAATAACCTGCAAAAGGTTGGTAAGCTGTAAAAAAATCAAATCTTTTATCTAATAAATTTAAAATTTTGGATTATTTAAAAAATAATCTGTGATGACTTTAGGTAAAAATATTTGGGAAGTTTAATTTCATAAATGATATTTTGTTTTAAATTTTGAAAAATACTTAAGTGAAAATGTTTGCAAAGTGACCGTTTGACCTCTATTGACAAATGTGTACTTAATATATTGTCAAATTAATATTTGCCTAGATTTATATTTTAATTGTGTAGAAAAATGAAAATTGTGAAATATTCATTAATCACTAACGAGATTAATGAAAATAAATTGATTTCACAAGGTTTGTATTTTAAGATAAATTGATTTTTGTCTTTTTGGTTTTATTTTGTGAAATCAATTATTTTAGACTTCATTAAATTTTTGCAAGGTTAAGTAAACTTGCCTCCATATACATTGATTCACATATATTTTCAAAGTTGGCATTCTGTTATCTTGAAAATATTAATGCTAACAATTGTTAATAAAATCTCTGTACAAGGGGGTGCTGAAAGGTTCTCAGCCCAACCAATTAGGGAATGGCATTGATCCATGAAAAATCCATGTATTTATTTACCTTGAAGTTCAACCTATTTGATACTTAGTTTCTCAGATTTCTTTAATCCTTCCAAAAGAAATTCTCATGTTTGGTCTTTGAAATACTGCTCTGTTGCTGCTATCAACTCCATATTGTTCAAACATTTTTTACTTTTTAAAATCCTTTTAAGATTTTGAAATCAGAAATAGATAGAGCAAAATTTGGTAAATGACTCTTGAACCAAAAGCCCCAAATTCTTCAAATCATTCAATCTCTTATAGAAAAGAGAGCTGATGCATTGCACTGCCAAAAGATACCACTATTGTTTTTCTTTCAATGATTTAATTAGTACAGCAAGTTTGGACATTCTGAAGATAGTCGTCAAAATACCTTTTATTTAAAGAAAAAAAAATGGCTATGACTTTTCTTGCTGACTTTTGTTTTTTAAGTTTCTTCAATCATGGAGTACCTTAAAATCTCTACTCTGGAATTTGACAAGCCAGTTTTTCATAGTTGAGTATTATGGCACTTGTCACCTAATGTTTGCATCATGCCCTCATGGATTTTTTTTCATTTTTTTTTCTTTTCATTGTAACCTGAAGTTCAACACTGAAAAATTTCATACTATCTGTCGATATTGTTCAGTCACTGATCTGAAACCAAAAATATACACAAGGATACTGTAATTTTTCAGCACTTGACAATATAAGACGAACACTCATTTCATCTGCAATGACAAAATAATGCTGAGATTTGGGGATTTGGGTTGAACTGATAACTTTTTAGCACTCCCTCATAAGCAAACTTTAAAAAGCAAAAAGCCAAACTTTATAATCTTTGTTTTATTTTTCTTTACTTCTGGTTTTGCTTTGTGATTAGTTATTTTTGGTTTTGCCTCTGTTGAGTGATTCTTTCCATTCAGTTAAGAATTTTAAATATTGCAGCCTAAGGTGAGATCTTACGTATTTTTATCTTATTGATTTGTGTGTTGTTGTCTTGATGTGAAGCAAAATTGCTGTGATTGATTTTTAGGATTTACCCAATAAAAAAAAATCAGAAATGTTGTTTAACATCTACTTCGATTCTTTAATAAAAACTCTTAATGTATATGAAGTAAATCAACATTTATATGTATTCAGATTTGGACTTAAAAATAGCTTTATTTCCATGTATTTTACAAATCTAATATGAGAGTATGCATCAAGTATAAAAAAGATAAGTTTGTGAGGACAAAGTAAACTTATTCTACATTTGCAGCTGCTTTGTTTATCATAAATATTAAAATGAGAGATAGAAAGAAAAATGAACTAAAAAAACAGTGAACTATACATTCAATAAGTTTAGGCTTAATATCTCCATTAAATGAAAAATGTAACAAAAATTCTTATCATGGAGTTTGGAAAATTAAATGACAAAATAATCTTTAATAAACTTCAAAGCCCCATTTTATTTTGAAAATAATTTCACTGTAACTTCAGTTCTCTACACAATTATTCTAGGTTTTTTTTTCTGTTAACTTTATAACTTTAACTGTTTATTTTATAAGCTCCGTGAAAGATGTATAACTAAACTAGAAAATATATTTTTAGTTGAACTTTGAACTGTTACTTAATTATAAAAATTATAATTAATTAATAACTGTACAAAAAATATCATGAACATTGTATTACTAAAGATTGTCCTTTATGACACTAATATTTTAATTTCTGAATTTCTGGGATGAGGATTCATCATCATTATTTACAGTATTTATATTCAAACTATTGTCCTCATCTTTGTTGTTGTTATCACAATGTTTTGACCATTGTGCCCTCCAGCCTTCCTCAGGTGAATATCAGGACAATGGCCTTGTGTATTAAAGCATTAGTTTGTGAATTTGGTGACATAGTCATTGTGAGTTCAATCCTTTTGTTAGGGCAGTATGTACTTTGCATTCATTGGAAGTACTAGGTGATATCCCAAGACATGAACAGTGGAATGAGAAGAGTCTCTACCCAAGTAGATTAAATAAAGGATTTAGTTCAGAATTTCCTCTTGGTTACTTGGATTGATATACACCTGAGAAAGGCAGGAGAGCATAACAGCTTAAATATTGCTATAACAAATACAAAAGTGATAAGAATAGTCCAAATATAAATAGTGTAAATAATGATATGTTAGTTTTCATTTTTTATTTCCTTATAAAGTTTATAACCTGCTATCTTCATAGTACTATCTTTGATTTAATATGCAACTGAAACACTTAATTACTGATTTCTATCATTTGAAAAAGAAAACTTTAAAATCCAATGATGAATATATTCTCTTGGAAAAAAAATTATTTGTAAATTCTGTAAAACCAAGATTTTCTTTTTCTTTAGAATTGGTAATGCCTGAGTATAAATTATTGTCTTAGAGTATGAATTATAAACATATTTTTATGGTAAGCACATGAAATGAGTTTAGAATTCTTAATTGAATTCGCTAATTCAAGCAGCCTAAGTCTTATTTCACTTTTAATCTTTGTAAAACGTCTGTATTAAGATTTGTGAGTCTATTCCATTATTTTAAATGGAACAAATCATAATTCCTTGATTTAATGATAGCCTAGAAAAAAGTATGTATGTCAATTTACTCAAATAGTAACCTTTCCTATTATTTGTTATAAATATTAAAACATTGTATTCCCTTATTTCATATATTTTCATTTGCTTCCTTTTCAATGGTCATTAGAGAAGTAAACATGCTGCTTTGATAAATAATTAACAAAAATCATTGTTAGTTTATTGCCTACTCATGTCAAAAGTATTTTACATTCTTTTTTGGCTTATGTTTTATTACTTCATAAGCTTATTATTTGCAGCTTTGTTTTTCTTGAATCTTTCTCTCACTTGAGAGGAGTATTTTCCACCTGAATCTTCTGTTCAGATTTGGTAAATAACATTAACTCATGACAGAATATATAAGAATAGCAGAATTTTATTTATATATATATATATATATATATATATATATTTATTTTCCTTTGCTTTTGGCCCAGGTAGAAATTTTGTTAACACATAAAACAATTATAATAATCAAAAGCAATAGCTTGGTGTTAATTTTCTGGATTGTAAAGATTAAATTCTGTTTCACTTGTCAGGTGATGTACGCAATGATATTTATATAACATTGATGCAAGGTGAATTCAACAAAGGTTCAAAAACATCTGAAAAGAATGTTGAAGTTAATATTCAAGTATGCAATCAAAATGGAGACACATTGCAGGTAAGAGAAATCAACCTTTGGAACATGCATTTTTGATTTAAAGCTTTTTTTTTTTCTTTTTTATCTGCTTAGGAATTTGGTGTTATAAAGTGCCAATTAAAGAGAACTTTTTTCTATTTAAAACAAGTGTTTTAGATCACTCAATCACAGACATATCACAGACCAAGGTTTTATTTACCTTTTTAAGCAATGCAATCTTTTCATTCAGTTATCTACTCAGTTTCATATCGAAAACGTAAACAAAGCAGTCTCTAAAGAATTAATGGAGTTATTTTAAGTTCACCATTTTTATTACTTCAGACATTATTTTTAGCAGATACCCAATTTTTATTTTAAACAGTGTGTATCATGTCTACCATTCTGCATACTCGAGAAAACTTAAAGAAAATATGCTCTAAATTTTCTTGAGTGCACAAACTGATAGATGTAATGCACACTGTTTAAAATAAAAAAAATGCAGTGCATCTATTTCAAACATGGGTATCTGTGAAAAGTAGTGTTTGAAATAATAAGAATATTGGATTAAAAATAAATCCATTAATTTTTTAGAAATTGCTTTAAAATTTTTCAATTTTGGCTAAAAGAGTCAAAAGAATTTAACTTTACTACAATCTCATTTTGATAAATTGTACACACTTTGATGTAATGTTGAATAGGAATATATTTGCTAGTTTAGATATAAAATGTTTTATCATGTATCTGTTATACAAATAAATACACAACAGTAATTATTATATTTTTTGTACCATGCTCTATAGTGAAAAGGGAGGTAAATTAACTTAAGGTAGTAAATGAACTGTTTAATTAATCTGTTCCTTTACTAATATATATTTTAGGCTGCAGTCTTGTTTGTTCAAGCTTTTCTTGTGAGGCTTTCATCTACTAAGTGATTGTCTTGCTTCAACTTAGTTTTGAGATAGGCTTTGTCATTGCGTTGATAATCTTTTTTTTTCAAGAGATGTTTTCATTTTGAGTTATTGTTATATTAAACATATAAAATTAAACAATATTAAACATATAAAATTTTTAACATAAAAGGATATTGTGCAAAAAGCAATTTATATAATACCAAAAGTAATCAATGAATCATAGTTACCATTGACTGTTTAAAAAATATAAAGATAACGGATTAATTAAACAGTTCATTGGCTTCTATTTTAGTTGTGAATCCTGGAATATTGAATCACAATACAGTTTAAAAACTTTTGTTTTAGTGCATCTCAATTTTAAAGCTTTCTAACAATTGACATCATGGGTACACTAGTATTATATAAATATAAAATAAACAATGTTTAAAATTACACCCCGTAATTTATCAGATTTTACTTGATCATTAATGTATATGTATATATTGAATTACATACACTGGTCTTTATATTTAATTGATGAGTTTTATTTTAACGTCATTTTCACACCTCATCAGATAAGTGGGTCCCTATATCCCTTGCTTTCAATATGCCACATGAGGTTTTCCAAGCCGTCCTTATTATGCACCCAAAGAATTTTGACAGTATTTTGAAACATTTTTATTTTGACGAAAATATATTAGATATCAAATAAATTGAGAGAGAAAGAATTTTGACTCTTTAAATTTAAGTTCTTATTTAAAGTTACTTTTTTTTTTGTTTTGCTATCATAAATGAACTTGTTTATTAATCTTTTCTTATGTTTTCTTTTGACTAATTTTTTAACCTACGTTTATTGCAGAATGTCATCAGTGAAGGTGCTGGTGGAGAGATGATGAGTGAATACAAATCATGTATTTACTACCATGAAGATAGACCAAAGTGGTTTGAGACAGTTAAGGTATTCCATCATACATATATTTTCTTTTTAAAGACAATACATTACAGAAGAAAAAGAAGACTTTTTAGTTTCAATATAAATAAATCATTTATGCATGAATGATGATAATAATAAGAATATAAATTATTTACTTTAATGCACTTTTATAATTGGTAGCAAAAAGTATTTTATTATAAATCTTTACTCTCTTTAATCTGAATATCATTGGGTCTATGATTATAGATATAATAGAAAAAATAAGGCTTACAGCCATATCATATTGAAACACCAGGTTCTTGTATGATCACCAAAGTTAAGCAACATTGGTACTGGTCAGTACCTAGATGGGTGACTGCATGAGAATACCAGGTGCTGTAAGCTTGAATGTGTGGGTGGTGTAATCGATAATGGCTTGGAATTGAAAATTGGAGAGCCAAGTTCCAATTCCAGTTAGGTTTGTTATATTCAGTTATGCACAATTAACCTTGAGAGAGAGGTATGAATCCATCTCTTCTCTCCTCAGCTATGGGTTAATTTGTAGGACTTGTATCCGTCAGTCATTATTATCTCAAAAAAGTTCTTATAAACTAAAAATATTTTCTGGCTTTAAATAACGCACAAAATGTTGATAAGTCGTAAAAACAAAGCAGTCAATAGAAAAAAAAATAATGGTTGGTATTTGATATGTGACACTATTTACTAGTTGGTGTACTCTATTTTACTGGTGTGACACTATTTACTAGTTGGTGTACTCTTTAAAATATTGTGATAGCTAATGTTGGAAATACTTGAGCTGATTATGGAAAAAGGTGTTTGATGCTAATTTTTATCTTGTTAGGTATTAATACTTGTTCACTAGTATCACTAACCTTGCAGTGGAAATAAGAACTTGGTTCTCTTCATCTGGTACTCTATTCACATTACTTTTAATCATTTTTCACCAATAAAACCACTAAGATGCAAGGAACTACTGAGTGAGAGAATATGAGAAAAAGAAAAAACATTAAGGAGAGAGAACAATAAAAGAATAAGAATTAAGAAGACAGAAGGTAATGGTTGACAGTGCATTTAAATTTTTCAAGATCAAAGTTGACTGGGAAGCAAGAAACCAGAAGAGTTCCACAAGCAAGAAGTGTGATAAAAGAAACTGTTGGCATAGAACTTACGGTTACATCAAGCCATTTCAACTGTAAAAGGATAAGACCTTTCTACCAATCTAGTACTAGACTTAAATTCATAAAGTCTAGATACCAAAGAGGAAAGCTCATCAGAACAATTACCATGAAAGTATTTATAGAAAAGCCATGTTTCAGCATTGGGAAAGTGACTGAAGCTGTCATGTCAGGACTAATAACATTGCAGATTCTTTTTTGGATTTTATCAAGAATCTCTTAAATATATAGCAGAAGCACCAGACCAAATGTGGCAGCAATATTTAATTCATCTACCACTAAAATTATTTCACAATCACTCAAATAGTTGCTCTGAAATTTAAGCTATAGGTGTTGAAATTCTTTAAAATTATCAAGTTGTTTGGTATTAAATTGCTAAGTGAATAAAATAAATTGAAAAGAAAAAAAAACCCTGAAAAAGTTTTAATCAACTTCATTCTCTGTACATACTTTCTATCATAGAAGAACAGTTTTCTTCCTAAAGAGGTCTTTGAAAATGACAAATGTATGAAAGGTTTAATTTTGATCCTAATAGTATTTTCTGTAATGATATGGTCTTGAAAAAAAATGCTAATTTATTAGGGAGAAGTTGAAAGAATTGGCAAAATGACACTATTTTTTATTCAACAAATTTTGAAGGCATGATTTCAAACTGTTCTATATCTCCCCCGACCATTTTGGATGGAGAATAATACAAGATATCAAATGTCATTGCTCCACCAAAAACTTACCATTAACTTCTAGGCTTGATAGCACTATTTTGGCTTTTTGTTTCTATCCAGCCATTTGTTTAATTGTTTCTAGTTAGTGATCGTATAAAATCTATTTTTCATTGCAAATGTTTATATAATGCCAAAATAGAATACATTGAAACTTGCATGTTTCTGGATTAATTTTACAAACCGTTTTTAAATCTTCATTGAGTGATGAGTTTTTATTTTTACAGAAATTTTTCCTGTTTTTATTTTTACAGAAATTTTTCCTTACCAATTTTTGAAACCAAGAGACTTACTGTTCATTAACAACATTCTGTAAATGTATATTCCTTACGCCTCCAGTGTTTTGTTATAGCTTAGCTTGAATTTGTATAATTATGAAGTGTATTGAAAGGTTTTCTGTTATAGTTGACTCTGCTGAGGTTTTAATTAATAAATCATTTGACTTGAAGTACTTGTAAATAGAATGAATTACAATTTAGTATTTTGGAGTTCATAATTATTAAAAATAGTAGTGTACAATCAGACTTGATTAGCAATGAATTTTCTCTGTGATACCATAGTTAGTTAAGAGTGTGAGAAAATGTTTTGGTGGGGTTTCTTTCAATTTTCTCTAATCAACTAACAGGTGGTAAGCAACAAGTGATAAATGTTGACCTAAAAGCATCCTTTAAGTGAACAAGGTATTTTCAATAATAGTTTAAAAAAAAAAAAAAAAATTGTATGCATATTATACACAAGTTGATACATTTGGTAAAAAAAAAAGTATATCTGATTTTACTGTTATAGTTTGTATAAAAAATCTAATGTTGTATAGTGTAAATAAAAACAGCAATGTTCTTGTACAATTTTAGGAAATGTTTTTTTGACAAGTGGAAAAGAAAAAATGTGTTGTTGATAAATTTAATGGATACCTTTTTTAAAGTTCATCAAGGAGCAAAATGTCCAAGCATAAAATGTTCTGTTGTATGTATAATAAAAGATGATATATTTAGAGTAGCATGATTGACAAAGTCAGAATTCATTATTTACAGGTCTTTTTAGAAGCTGCAGAAATGATAGTTTTTTTTTTCTTTTTTTGAATCTGATTTTCATATTGATTAAAAATATTGCTTTACTCATGCTAATTGGTCAGGAAATCTTATTTTTATAGCTGGCATCACACTTTAATTTTTTGCCATTTTGAACTTTTCATTCACTTGAATGCTAATGTCCACATGGAACTGCTCTACTCCATTTATTGAAAAGCTGTAAAAATCAATGAAGTGAAAATTTGTGCTGAATAACATATTTAGAAACATAAATTAAAAACGCTAGGATTTCTTTTTTTCTGGGTGAAAAAAAATAGGGAAGAAATTTGAAGCGGGAAAGAAATTGTGTAATTTCATATTGAATAAAATACACATCTATATACCCCCCCCATGTACATTGTTATTATTTAAAGAGCTTCCTCTCTTTTGATGGGTGTTCTACAATCTTTGTCATGATTATTATAATCATTAACAGATAATTCTATCAAGGTGGAAGTCTTAAATTCACAGGTGAGTGTTCTGTGTTTGTAAACCCAGGCACGGTGGCCCTCGTCAGTCCTATAGTATTGTGCACAGTTTTTATTCACCTCTTGCTTATAATAATTTTTATTTATTGTTCTTACCTTGACCTGACAAGACAAAATAATTCTTCGTATAACCCCATTTTTATCTTTTATTACCTATTTTGTCAAAGTATTTTAAGGTGTAAATAAAGCAGAATGATTCATTCATTTTTTATTATTTCTTATTAATATAAGTAAAGACTCTGCTTTACCTGAACTCTTTTTTGCCCTCTTTAGATAAGGTGTGATTAACAAATGACTTTACTTCTTTTGTTTCTCCATAGCATGAAATACCCTGGGTACAATGTGTTAAGTAAGCTACAGACATTTATGCTATATATGTATAATTTCAATTTTAAATAGAGGCTGTCACTTGAATTGTGTTGTTGATTATGTCATTTATTTGTTGTATTCATTATTTGTATATCTTATCCATGAACCTTTTTCAATCATAACTGTTCATGTAATTTTATTTCGCAGACAGATAATGGGATTTGAATTATCATGATCTGTTAATGGTATTATTTTCTTTTGCTTTTAATCTATAAATACTACATTTGAATGCCTATTAACAGATCTAATTGACTATTTTTTTTTAATCATTTCACCCAAAGTGATAATAAAGCCACTAAGACACAAGGGGTTGCTGAGAGTGAAAGAATCTGAGAAAGGAAAGAGGAAGAAAGAAAAGGAATTAAAGAGACAGAAAATGATGACATTACATTTACATTATTTTAAGATCAAAATTGATTGTAAAGCAAGAAGCGGGTAGAGAGTTTCACAAGTGAGAGGTGCAAGAGAAGAAATTGTTAGCATAGAACTTATGGTTACTTCTTGCAAATTCAACTATAAAATAATGAGACCTAGCTGCCAATCTAGTACTGTGCCTACATTTTTAAAGTCTCGTTACTAAAGCTGAAAGCTCAACAGAACAATTACCATGAAAATATTAATAGAAAAGGCACAGGGAAGCTACAACATGGTGGTGGGAAAGTGACTGAAACATGATGCCAGGTCAGGAATGATAACATTGCAGATTCTTCTTTGAATTTTGTCAAGAATCACTAAATACATAACAGAAGTACCAGACATGTTAGCAATATTCAATATATACTCAAATAGTCAACTTATGAAGGTGTAAGATAGATCCTGGTTAAAAAAAATTGTCTCAAACAACACAGTGAACCAATTTTCCAAGTAGTAAATCCAGAGCTGAATTAACCTTTAAGCAAAATAAGCACTTGCTTATAGGGCATCAAGAAAAGGGAAAACCACAGAAATTGTTATGATATGACATTGTTGTACATTTGAATCTGCTGGACATCATTACGAATGAGATGACAACTGACCTGCAGCGAATGTTTATTGCAATTCTGATTGGTTAATATGTGAATAGGCTAAAGGAGATAATTAGGTTTATATTTACTCACTACATCTACTCTCTTAAGTTAGTATTACTAATTAACTTTATGGGATTTAATTTTTGTGGTCAATCATGGAGGTAGATTATTCTCATGTTTATTTTACATTATTCTGGTGATCTGCTTATGTGATTCTGTAACATGCTGGTTTGTTGATTACAAGACCATCTTTGGTCATTGTTCTGTTAGAATCTTGTCATTGCTCTTTTGACAGTGGCTACTCAACTGCAATTGTTTCTTGCTGGCATTTCCACAGCTGATTTCCTCTTTTTTTTTGCATTACTCACCAAGAGTCCATGTTAGCATACTTGACTCACAGATGTATATGGGAGCACCAAAATCTTTTAAGGGCTTTCGGCCTGTATGGGTCTTAATCTGGCCCTGAGCCGATATAGCAATTGTTTTAATATAATTGTTCTGCTTCATGTTAGTGGAAAAATAAATTATTTATTTTTAATGAATTTTACATTTAGACTTTTAGAATTTAGTAAAAAAAAAAAAAAAAAAAAAATAAATAAAAGAAATATAAAAAAAAACACATTTTTCAAATTAATATTTTTAAGGTGAAAATAGTGCTGAGAGTTAGCTTTTAGATTAAAATAAAATACTAATACTTGTTATATAAATAATTGCATAAACACTAATACTGTTGGTTTTAGCCTTGACAACATCCAACTAAATCACAACTATGGACTCATTTCTGATATTTCTACAACTTTATGTGAACACAGCATGCGCTTTGCAGGACACTGCTATTGAGCAAAACATTAACTTGTGAGTGATCTACTGCACTGGACACTGAGCAAACACCTACATTGATCAATTATGTTATGACACAGAATATCACCCTAATGACCTTGATGCAGGAACATGATGGTTGGTGTAATAGACTCATGAATTCTAGAGCTAGCTCATCCAAATAAAAAAAATACTCTTGCTGCTTTTAAATTATATTTTCATGTAGTTTTGCTACATGGTCTATTTTTTAAAAAATTTTATGAAGTAAAATAGTATCCATGTATGCTTTAATTTTGTTTTGAAGTATTTTATGAGATTTTATATAATTTTGTTTACTTATTATTTTTTGAAGATAAATTGATAGATTTCATGTTCACTATAGTTTTCTTTTTATAAATGATTTCCCTCTCAATATAAAAATGACTAACCAATTTCCTCATATGAGACATTTTAATGTTGCTTTTGCAGAAGAACAAGATATAAGTGTATGAGATTATCTCAAACATTATTGACAATGGAATTTAAGTTGGTCAATTTAGAAAATAAAGTCTGTGTTCCTTTACAAGCCCTGATTAAAATTTCAAGAAAGTGTTGCCATTATTAAACAATTTGTGCTAAATTAAATCTGTAAAGCTCTGTGAATGAATAAAAAAAAATGTAGAAACTCATTGAACCTATGCTACCTCTAAAGACATGGGACAAGAAAAAATTTCTATAAATTTGTAAACACTTGAAAAAAGTTTGTTCAAATGAATGTAAAATATAAATAAAAAATATCTGGAAATAATTAATTTCATAATTCTAATAATTTTAAAGGAACATACTCTTTGAAATTGGTTCAACAAAATTCTTAGCAAAATGAATATGAGATTTTTTTATCTAAAGTGTCTTTTTCTTTTTTGGGATTTATTTAGACATTTTAAATTTTTACTTTTTGTAAATTTTTCTTTTAAGGTGGCAATTTCTACTGAAGAAGAATTCAGAGGCCTTCATTTAAAATTTTTATTTAAACATCGATCATCAAATGAAGGTGAGCTTAATTCCTTTAGTGTTTGGGTGAATAATGTAAAGTTCAGTGTGGGAGGGTAATATTTTTAAGGCAGACTATTCAGCAGTGAATTTGAGATTCAAACAATCCTTTCTGAAGTATGCTATTTACTTTTTAATATGTAATTTTAATATATTTTCTCATATTATTTAAATGAATGGATAGAAGAATATAAATTTAAAATTCTAGCTGTAAGTCAAATATTTGAAGCAGTTACTTGCTTATTAGATATGTAAAAAGAGAAAGTTGTGATAAGTCTGTTTGTAAAACTCTAAACTTAGAAGTTCTTTTCAATATGTTATGTAAATAATTTCCAGTAATCATTGTTTACACTATTTATGTGTGGACTATTGTCTTTATTGCTGTTATCACAACATTTTGTCCATTGTACTCCCTGTCCTTCATCAACTGTGTGTTGATCCATGTAACCTACAGGGAATTCTGAACTGAACACTTTATTTAATCTACAGGGTATGCTGTTCTTGTTCTACTATCCATGTCTTGGATTATTTTGTGTAGTCTTCTTTTTTAGTACCACACAGTTATTGTTCACCCTATTTCCAATGAGTCCAAGTACATACTGCCAGCTCAAGGATTGAACTAACAATTACTATATCACATTTTTTTTCTAAATTGTAATTGCTGGTCACTTGTATCATAGTATGCTGGTCTGCTAAAGCAGCTTGACAATATTTGCTGCAGATGTCTCCTCAGACATATATGTGTGTTTTTTCAACACTCTTTGTCTTTAAGGGTGGTGAAAAAAAATACACATATGTGTCTGTGATTTATACTGTAACTATGCTGAGTGAACCTCAGTTACATTTTCTGGGAGAGAGTACATAATCTGGCATGAAATGCTGCTAGTACATTCAAATCCTTGTTCATGATAACTTGTGATTTGATGCTACCACAACCATCGATGAACAATTTGTCTCCCTAATTTCACTCAAAAGGCTTGGGTGAACCTGTGGTAGGGTTTTCAAGCATTTTCCAAAAGTGCAACATTCTGGGATTGCTTCTGTCAGCTGATAACATAAGTCACCTTCCTGACAAATTGACTATTGTGAGAGATAAAACTGGATCTCATGATTGGAAAATAACCATACTAACCACTTGGCCATGCACCCACTAGAAACATTAACTATGTAATAAAGGCAACTACATTCAGTTCTATTTTATGGTATTATTTGGTACATCACTTAACCTTTTAGCATTCTACCCACCGAAACCTGCTCTGTAAATATTGCCATCACCCTCCCCATGTATACTCTGCCATAATATATGATTACAGCATTCTACCCACTCAAACCTGCTCTGTAAATATTGCCATCACCCTCCCCATGTATGCTCTGCCATAATATATGACTACATTATTACTAATAAATCTGGAAGTCACGCAAGCTTTGAGACTGACTACAAACTTAGACCACAAATAGACTTTGAGAAATTGTTATTTATTGGTTGGGTTTGAGTAGGTTGGATGTTAAAGGGTTAAACTTCAGGTACCTTATTTAATCCCAGGTATGCTGAAAGATGTACAATTTTATATTTTAATTTTTTTTTATACTAAAATTCACCTAATACAAACCTTGAGCCACTCAAGGTAGAGCATTACTGTTAAAATGGTACTAATCACCCATGCAGGAGTCTCTTCCACAAAGTGGCAACAAATTTTTACTTCTAAAATTACATTTAAATCTTAGTTTGCTTTTTCATTATGTCCTTTTTGTTCAAGCAACCTTTTTACTAATCTTTAATAACATACATGTAAATTTTATCTCGAGACATGCACATCTAGACATCACCTTATTGTTCTGTCATATCCAATTTCAAAATTTTTTGAATTCTTGTAATGAATTTAGCCATTGATAACTTCTTTTTGGCAATATAATGTACCGATTTAAATGTTGTTTACAGGAAAGGATAAGCTTGAGAAGGTGTTTGCAATGGCTTTTATTAAATTGATGAATGATGATGGAACGACGTTAAAAGACACTACCCATGAACTTTTGATTTATAAGGTAAGATAGATATTTTTTTCTGTTCTGTTTGACATGTAGCATTTAAATTTCATCATTTTAATAGAGATAAAATTTGTTTTTAAATTCAAATGCTAAAAAGTTAAAATTAAAAAATGCCATTCATCTCATCACTCAAGTAATGGTTACTATGTGAAATAGAATAGTCCTTGAAGTCAATTCTGGAGATATTCATAACTGAGTTGTGTTTATTGGGTGTAGATGCAGTAAATTTTCTAAGGTCTGTAACATATTGCATAGATGCTCAATGAAATTTAAATCTGGCAAGTGCAAGGTTCATTCTAACACCTGGTAGTCAGTCTGATGTTCTTAGGACGAGTTTAGTGTTATTTGTCTATGATGGTCAAGTGGTGTGTTGCATTATCTTGTTGGAAGAAACCATCACCACTGAGAGCATGACAAACATAAAGAGGTACAAATGGTCCTTAACAAGATCTGTGTATATCACAGCTGTCAAGAAACTCCAGTTTCAGTAAATCTTAGCAAACATCCTGTAGAAACCTCCTCTTGCACCATTATAGAGCCACTGCTATAGCTTGCACCTCATTTTGCTGACAGGCTGGGTCTGTAGTTTCATGCATTCCTTCCCCATACACAAAAGTTTACCCAAAAGAGCTGGAAAAGTGACAAGTCAGACCAGGTGACATGGCACCAACCTCCCATGGACCAATAACAATGTTCTCTGGCCTAAAGGAGGTACAGTAATTGATGCCATGACATCAATAATGGTACTATTGTTGGTTAATAATTACAAAACCTAATGGGATGGGTTGAGTGGCACCAATATTGAGTTGGAATCTGATTTGATAGAATATTCTCTTTCTTTGGATGGTTACTATCCTTGTCAGTCATCACATATTCCTGGGATAGCCTTTCTACTGTTGGCCAAGAAAAATCTCCAGAATTGGTCCTGACAATCATTCTGTAGCCAAACAGTGCTAAATACTGTTTACGTCTCGTATCTGCCACTGCTAAACTGTCTCCTTACCTATTGTCACACATGCATCATCTGGTAGATTTGGTTAGTATAAGTGGTGGAGGGCAATCCCATCCAGTATACTGCTGTCTTTAATTTTTGTCATTTTAGTTTATGAAATAAGTATCTTTATTTAAATCTTGTTCCTATAAAATTTATGCAGATTTGAACATTATCCATTGCACTAACAGGTATGAGTGTTAAATCAGAGTACACTAAAATTGGTAATATTGTAGAGCTTATAAATTTTAATTATTGTTTGAGTCAGTTGTTACAGGACCTCCCATATGCAGGAAACAAGTAGAATAGCCTCAGGACTACACTTGTGTTTTTTTAAAGTGAAAATGCCATGTTACCATAGCAACAGTTCCAATAATTTTTGATCAGACCTTGTATAATAATGTTTAGGTTAAATTAATATAAATAAAAATGCATGCATTTAGCTTTTATTGTAAATTGTTTCTCAAATTAAATATTAATATTTTTTTCTCTTTTTGATTACTTTCATAACATGAATTTTGCTTATTAATGATGCTTTTTGTTTTCTTACATTTCTTCAGCTTGAATCCAAAAAGAGTGATGGCTTTCGTGGTTATTATCTTGATTTTTATTCTACCAGAGCTGAATTGGAAAATGCAAACCCTACTCAGTCCAACAGAACTGGCCTTCAGAAGGGTTTGATCCTCAGCCCTAAAGACTCAGTACTTATAAAGACTTATGTCTGCTCCACCAAACTTACTCATAATGGTCAGTTACTTCAAGGCTGGACAAATTGTCTATATAGATTTGTTTAAATGTGGCATCCTTGAAATCTTTTTATAATTTCATTAGATAGATTCAAGAAAAAAAACTTGAGTTTCTGAATGTGTAAAAGTTCTATGTATTTTAATTTATTTTTAAGTTTGTGTTTGAAGACAAGTAAAAATTTGATTACATTTTTTTGACTTTAATTAGTCTGTCATTTTCCATGTAATCCTTGTAACTGTGTATTGATATTTAAAGCAATATTGTTCAGTATTATTTGGCTTCTGCTATATACTTCAAAATATTTTTCTTATGTCTTGATCAAATGAATCCTTTCAAGAGTGTTGAACATTTTTTTTTAAACTTTTATAACATCATTGCAGAATGATTAAATCAAAGGAATTCTACAATTTATGAATTAAAGAATTCTATAAATAAGTAATATGCAATAGTAATTCTTTCATATTTTTGTTTGTAGTAAATTTACTTGGTTTGCTCAAATGGCAAGAAATTCTTGATGACACAAATGCTTTAAAATGGCATCTTGAAGAACTGATGCATGTGGATGGAGAAGAAATTGTCAAGGTATGTCATATTTTTTTTGTATCAAATTTAAAACTTCTGGCAGTTAGTGCTTCAGTTGAATCTGCATGTAAAATAGTACCTGGAACTTAATCCCATTGCCGAGCATTATCTGAAGATGCAAATAAATAAGGATAATTAACTTATATCTGCCAGATAATTCATATTGTCAAGTTAGCTAACTGTATCTGTTTATTAATTTCTCAGAAAATTTTAAATATATTTTTGATGCATAATGTCAGTTTTGGGTTATTTTTGCAAACATAGTTTGTTGAGCACAATGAGTCAATAAAAATAATTTCTTCAGCTTACCAATTCAAATATTTATGATTATTTGCTTTGACTCAAGATAAAGATGATAATTTCAATATTAAGCTCTGCCAATCTAATGTTGTATACTAATATAAATATTCTTATTAGCTTAGAGTTGAAGTTTGAATGGTGTAATATTTGCTGATACATTTTCTCATACTTGTTGAATGTTTTACATTGTTTCCACATTGTAATCCTGATAAAATAGAACATTCCTTAATAGAATTGATATTATAATAAGTTTTCTTGCGTTCATTGCTGAATTTATAAATTGAAATTACAGAATAATAAAAATCTTGACACAGAAACTGATTTTGAAAAATTATTAAATATAAACTATTGCAATACTTTTATATATTATTGTTTTCTATTTTCAGTTTTTACAAGATCTGCTGGATTCATTGTTTAACATTTTAATGCAAAATATCAATTCAGATAATCATGAAAATTTAGTGTTCACTGCTTTGGTAAGTTAGTGTCAAAAGTTTTTTAATAATCTAATTTGCTTGTAATCATTATTTTAATGCAATGTATACATGCACTTTCTTCTTTTTGTTTTTTAATTGTATATCATAATCTAATTGCCTGTATTTTTATCTTTTCTTTTATTTAACATTTTCAATCCTGCATTGTTGCCTGGCTGTGCTGGCCTCTTGTGGGAAAAATAGGAAATTGCCATGTACTGGAAATAAATGACTTTGGAAATAGATAACAATTTATCATGGGTGTCACCATTTTTGTTTCAATTGTCTAATCTGTATGACAGTATCCAAAACTAAATGACACCACCAGCACACAAAATAATAGCTAATATTTTATGTTACTATATGTCTACTCTGGTTCGGAAATGACACAAA